GAACAAGAGATGAAGATTTCCAAAATTACAAATATGGTAAAATAGATAGACAAGAATATTATCAAACGAATATGGGGCTAGAAGAAGCTAAAATGAATCTTAACAAATTGGACAAGAAAGGATTGCACAAGACATAGCAGCTATAATTACTCAACATATTGAAACAACAACAAATAACTGGTGCACTTGAAAATCCGTAAACCTCTGACGTAATGCTGCAAGTATAGTCCAACTGACTCACAAGTTGTTTACTTTAGATACGGAGTCCGCTAGAATAATATCTTTGTTCGAGGAATCTGGATGGATGTATCTTATTGAAATTACAGCGTGTTTGAGTAAACGCGATGAGAACTGAGATTGTATACAATTTAATATCCGAGAATGGAGTTAAAACGTCATGGAAGATTTTGCTCTTGTTCTCTGGAATTGTGAAGGACAAAAATAATATATATGTCTTCAGGGAAGATACGGATGTGTTGTGTTTATTGAGGGTAACATAACATAACGTCACGCCTTTTTAACCCCGAAGGGGTAGGCAGAGGTGCGCATTACGGCACTTAATGCCACTGTACAATGTAACATCCACTTCTCATTATTTATGTTATGAGTCCCATGTAATAAGGGGGTAAGTCTATTGCTATATACGGGGCACATTTCTAGACTCCGTGCTACTACTGAGATTTTTAAAAACCCAGTAATACTTTGCCCGACCCGAGAATCGAACCCGATTCCCCTTGCAGTCGCACTTTATTGAGAGTGTTGGTAAAAAATATGTTTTTTGAGTTGATTCATAAATCAATTCGGAATATTTCTCTATCAACTGGGTATTTGGTGTATCACAACAAGTATATACATCCCTTGTCAGACTCTATAGTCTCTCTTGGACCCTATAGTCCAAGAGAGGTCTTGCAAGGGATGTTATACATATATAGATAGCATGATAGCAAAACAGGAAAAGTTGAAATCGAGTGTGTTCATAACCTCTTAACTAACACTAGCGATGTTAAATTGTTTGCAGCAACCACAAGAATGAAGGTAAAGATGACACCATTGACAGCTGATGAAATATTAAAACAGCCTCAACCTTTTGCTTGGTTCCCATATAAATAAAAGAATTGGGAACACACTACGCAACATAAAAACAGTATTAATTGCCTAAATGTAGAATTATGGTGATTAATTTGACACATCCCAATACTTAAGTTACGCGTCTTTAAGTGAACATTATGACTACTCAAGTGTGTCGTAAGCTTAATAACATGGCGCTTATAACTAAACTTGGTAATATCGTAAACTAGTCGTTTAATACATAATAAATAATGAATGACAAACGGTAGGAGAAATCGGTGGTAGACAACCTGTCCATGATTTAATACCAGATCAAATTGAAATATACATAGAACTAACATTATCACTTTTAATGGCTTGTCAAAGAATTGAATTATTTATTATGTTTGTTAAGGTAAATTCAGACTTTGATTTCGCACGCCGCATTTGGCATAAAGGTCTTTCGGTAATGGCCGTATTGGTATAAAACGATCATGATTGCTTAATAATCTTTGTTATGGTTTGCAATCTTGGTGATTTAGGTACTACGGGCGATATAATAGTGTCTTATTTTGACTGTATGTTTAATTTCTTAAGATCTTCTATATATTTCTTTTCTTTATACCCACCCAAAGGTTGTCTGGTAGAAATCACTATAAGTGTGATCACAAGAAAGCCTTTGTTGTCCATTATTATTTTTCTTTGTTTGTCATTGCCTTTTCTGTATGTACTATATTATTAATGGTGTACAATAATGTTATATTCTATTCTATCTTCTTAGACATTCTTTGTTTGACGAGACTAAAAAAGTATTTGCTTTAATAAGTACGCGCATCTTCATATTCTTCTCTTCTTCACTCATCTATGAATCATATCATCGTATAAAGTTAAATGAAATACATTCAACAAAACTACAAACCGAACTACAACAATAACTTTAACAAAGAATGAAATAAACTAGAAGCGATGAGAACTGCGCATGCGACTAATAAATTGTCTGCCGCGAGTCTGAACCAGCCTTAATACTTGTACAGTTCTGTTTGACACGGCTTTACTGCAACTAGTTACGATACGATCTCCAAGTCTCTGGGCAATTTGTAATGAAAGTTAAGAGAAATATTTATTATTGAAATGGTTCTAGTCATGCAATTCTTCATTGTGTTAAGACAAGTAATTTAGAATGTGATTTATTTATACACTAGCTACTCTTCGTCTACCCTTTTTTTTTGAGGGGGGAAAATCACAGCTACTCTTCGTCTACCCTGGGAACCGATATCTACCATAAACAGTTATACTCAAATAGACACAAGCTGATTACATAATGTATTCAACATGTTTATTCTAATACGTTTATTTGATACAATTTACGACGCCAATATTATTGTATCAACATAATTGGAGTTGTCGATGTTAGGAGCATAGATATTTATGTGTATTGCATTGATGGTTTAAGTCATAATTTATTGTATTGTATTGTATTGTATTATCTTTGTATTGGTTTGTGGGTGCAAATCAAGTACAAATTAAGTCGTTGTTTTATATTTATTATGTTGTTTGTAGACTTCCTTGTGTCTGTCTTGTTGTTATATTGATATTTTTTCTACTAGTGTCACTGCATTCGAATCTTTTATAATATTATCTTAATGTAAATGGATTTTTGGGTTTGATAAATTATATGTTATTGCTAAGGATTTCATTGCTTTAGATACAATTTTCAATAACTATCATAATGATCTTTATAGATATAAACTTTATAGCTACGTTTACCGCCTAGCTTCACTGACAAACAGACGGGCGGATGATAAAATGTTTGACAATTCAAAAGTGCTATTCTGAGCTTTAACTTTTACTTTTTCTGAGCTCAAACCATGTCTAACAGTTTCGTTTGCAACCACTAGATTAAACCCGTACGTTTTATTTTTAAAAAGTCTTTAAAGGTCTTAGTTTAAAATTTATACCTTTGCGATTGAATTTGATCAATAAGAAAAACCTTTTATGTGCCCATTAACAAACTTGAATGTTCACTATAATTAAACTTTTGATTAATGTAATCAAAAGGCCGCACTTACTGTTTACGACCCGTTTACTGCAATTGGCTTACGGCGAAATATAAAACTTGCATTTATACCTTCCAATTGTTCTTAGTTCTTAGACCTGAATCGAACCTGTTTTGAATTCACCTGCCTGAGCGCCTGCTAAGGTAGCCTTTTCATTATAGTTACAGCTAAATACGAGACGAAAGGTAATCAATTGCACTAGTTAGTAAAACAGTATGCTAATTCGAAATCAATTTATCGAAATCATTTTAGTTAGATATAGTATGCATAAAAGGTGTGATGTTATGTTATGTTCTATCAGCTAATGTTTCAGATTCGTTATTAGTTTTTGCGTAAAACATTCAAACATCCTTAAGTTTCACATTTCTAATGGTTTTTTTAAGGGGGGAAAATCATCGAATGACTGCTCCCGCCTGGGTGAGACGGGAGGGAGTGTCAAACTCTTACGGACTAAAAACCGCCCCGTTCCTTCTCCTGCACGTCGAGCCGGAACCCCGGTTACCCGTTAGGTTCTCCGCGACTCCGAATCGGCATCGGCCCTGTTGGGCCACATCTGTGGTGGTCTGATGGCAATTTCTAAGCGTTTAGAGTTTTAATAAACAATCCTATAAAAACAATGTAAAGAGACAACTTTTAAATTACAGAAAATGGACGCGTTTTCGTTGATTTTCGCTAAAATATTTGCGTTATTGTACTATATTTCTCTGTAAAGAGTTCAAAATCCAATTACCTAACTTGGCAACAGGTTATATCTCCAATATACTCTGTATACAGACTCCCAGACGTCCGTAACACAATCAATAGATTGTTGCACAAGGATTTAGTTGCAATGATCTTAATCAAGCATTCCAATGTTGTTATGTGAACACTCACATAAATGCAACGTTGTTATGGTTTCGAATATCGTTTAGATAAGCGTAATCGATTCTGTTTCGAATGAAATCGATTTATGAATCGCGACGGAAGGAAAAGTGTAGTTCATTCAAGAATAATGTTTGTAATCTACTATCTTTAGGTCTGTGTGGGCTTGACATGGCTTCTCGTGGATTATAGAATAATAACTAGATTATCTATTCATTGGCGCCTAGTACCCTTAATGTGTTTTGCAGTGTCTAGACTTCTGTAGTCTTGAATTGAATCTTCATGTTTATCGGTGGTCTAAGAAAATCTGGTTTTACAGTCTGTGTTGTTGACTGAGAGATTTTGCCTACACATTCAGGTAGGGGGAATACTATTTGAATTAGATAGAAACCTATTTAATGTTTGCATCTTTATTTAAACAACCAGGAAAGTACCTATATTAAGAGGCAATAAATACTAACTGATTTACTTAGGGAAATAGTCTCTTTCATGGGTAGATAAACCATGGCAAGGCAAGCATGGTATGGCAAGATTAGCAAAGCTGTGTAGCGTATCTTTTGCTATGAATCATGAGTATAACACTTACTCGTTCTAAAGCTAATTTCACGTCATAAGCTAAGGCACAAATTAATTTAAGTGTGGGAAAGCCAAAGCATTGGCACGAATGGGCCGGCTCGACCGGAGTGATACCACGGCTTCACAGAAAACCGACGTGAAGCAACGGTTGCGTTGTGTTTCGTCGTGTGATTGAGGTTACCGGAGGCCCAATTACCCTCCCCTTCCCAAATCTCCCCAATTCCTGAATCCCCAACGATCCTCAAACTCCTTATCCCCAAAAGGCCGGTGACGCAATTGTAACGCCTCTGGTGTTCCAGGTGTCCATGGGCGACGCCGATTGCTTACCATCAGGTGATCCGTCTGCTCGTTTACCGGCTTATGCCATACAAAAAAAAAAACATTTTCAAACTATGTATATAAAACTGACTTCAAGCCCTCTTTTTTGAAGTCGGTTAAAATAAACAAAATCGGACTTACCAAATTCATTACTAGTAAGGTTGAGTCTCGCTCTAGCTAAGGGACTGTCCTCATGATTGCAGAGGTCCCTAAAACAGCAGAGCAGTAGAGAGTGTTCCGCCGACGGTGGAGGACCCACTGATCCTGGTGAATTCTGGCATCTTGACAACGCTTCTTCTTCTCTGGAAGTAGAAAAGACCACGTAAGTATAGTGTAGAAGACCGAAGAAGTATCTACTGAATAAAGAAAAGACCAATCAATGCTTTAGATTTCTTTTTAATGAAAATTGTAGTAGGTAGGTAGGTAATGCCTAATGCTCCAAAGTGGGCAGATCATTCATTATTTTTATCTATAACAGTTTTATTTTTATATCTGCATAAAAACTGAATATTACATTCGCATTCTTTTCTTAAATGGTTTGATTGATATGCACCATATGACGTCATCCCTTACTCATATAACTGAATCAATTATAATAACAATTTGTCAAAAAAAAATATCAAAGCAGTTGGCATAAAAACTCTATCATTGCTATTAAAGGCTGTAATAAATCAGCTGATGTATGTACATCCTTCGATAGATGAAACCAGTTCGTCAGTCTTTAACTTGTTCCAACAAAAACTGTTGTCTCAACAAACGAGTTATTGGACAAAGAAAATAAAAATAATACACCTTATCGTTATTGAATTCAGAACTTGAACATTAAAGGGCTACTTTTTTCTTAAAATGAATTCATTTCGACTCGCCTTTGTATCAATGGTATTGTAAAAAAGTAAAAAGTCAGTAGGTAGTCAACCTCGGCCCGTACGCTTTATGGCGTTGCAAAAAAAAATGCAATATCTGTCCTTATGTTCGTACTTAATGAGCATTCTAGATCTTAATTAATTAGGATGATTGTTTAATAAGCTTACGGCTTTTTATTGTCGTCCCTAGATTGCAAGAGATGTGCTCGTTATTTGAATACTTTTTGCATATTATCTTGTTGTCTTTATTTGTTTTGTTATGCGAAGATTTTAATTGGTTTATATTGTTACTGTATGCAGAAATATTGCAATCAATCCGAATCTCGAAGTCCGCGGAGTACCTAACGGGTTACCGGGGCTCCGGCTCGAAGAGGAACGGGGTGGTTTTCAGCCAGTAATAGTCTGACACTCCCTCTCGCCTTACGCAAGGCGAGAGAGGCCATTGATGATATGTTCGCCTCAAAAAAAAGAAAGACAATCGATCTAGAAATGAGATTTAATCATTTCATGTTAGCCAGCTGTTAGGTCATCGAACTCACCTAAAATCTAATTATCACTATTACCAACTAGTGTTTAAGTTAAAATTTCAGCTTTTATCTTAAGACTCATAAAATACCATATTACAAAGAATAATATAACTTAACACACATTAATATGTAACAGTTTTGCCCTTGCATTCCCAACTCAATCGACATCAAGCCAGTAAGTCATTGCGCACCTCCCAGATTGTAGACTTGCGCAAGAGTTTAAACTGCCAACTGGGTCCGCCAACTGATCGATACAATCATTTTATTTTCTTTTCTTTATACACTTTGATTTAAAGACGCGGCAACTTGATGTTCGTAATTACTTTTTTTAACTTTTTTTTTTTTGTTATGTAGCGGAGTTCACCGGCCTAATGTAAACTTAATTTATATTGTGTTCGTGCAAAATAATGTTGTTTTTGATCGATAGGGTAAAAAGGAGCTTATGTTAGTTTTAATAAGATCAAGTTTTTGTTGTGTGTTCTAGAAATATTATTTTTTTTTTGATAAATAAATATAACTTGACTCATATGAAATTGTTTGCTTTTTATCACAAACTGATGAACGGATTTTGATGAAATTGTGGATGAAGTCATCTGATTAGAGATACATCGTTTTCACCAATCGTAAAAGATAATTAATTTATTTTGATGAGCGTCTAAAACTAAAAGAACTAAGACTAAGAAATTTAATTACTATGTTGAATATCTACATTTTTTTGGACTATTATTTAAGATAGTGATTTAAATGCCAATGATTGCTCTAAATAGGCACTTATCTAAGTATAAATATTTAAGGATGGCTTTTATCAAAATGTGTATTGATTGTCGTTAAGTGGTTTTGAGACGTGTCAGAGGGGATTTGATAAGGATGAACGAGGAAGTAGTGTTCAGGGGTGACTAGATAAATATTTGAAATGACACTGTCAATCATAAGACAAAGGACATTAAGACTATTTTTGCTTGAAGGAGCAAGTAATGTGTGGTACCACTTTGTTTTTGAGTCCTCTATTCAGCAGTTACGTAGGTATGTTACACTACAAGACTTAAAAATTCAAATGTCTCAATTGGGTACTAACTTTCCTCAATCATAATAAATTATTTCAACTGTTCAATACAATAAAATATTGAAAAAAGAATCACACTTCCATTCATTGATTTTCCAGCATTTTTTAAAGAAATAATGAAATATATTATGTTTGACGCTAAAAAACCTGACGTCACAATACACAATCTCGTACAGAGGCCTTAGTATGAGTTTGATTTACGTTTAAAGTATTCGAAACGAGTTCGCGTTCGGCACTCTGATTGGCCGGCGCCAATGAAGCAACCAATCACAGCGCCGAACGCGTACTCGTTACGATTACTTTAAACGTAAAACAAACTCGTACTAAGGCCTCAGATCTCATAGAAAACTGTCGTTTTTGACAGTTCAAAAAAAGTACTGAATTTGACTACATAGTAGGCAAGTACCCAATTAAGTTATTAACCGAACTAACCTGATAGTAGCGTTCAAATCCACTAGAGTATACAGAAGTTAGTATCCAATTGATAATACTAGCTTTAACCGTTGAGATTTGAAAACTTCACCATAGATAATCAACATTTACCATCAAATTCTCACATTGTATGCAAAACAAGAGACATTTTTCAAAGGTTTTTTTTTGTTTTAATAAAATAAAACATGGAGATTTATATTTGAACAACTTATGGGCATTGCGGTCAGATAATGCTTCTACGTCTAGAATACAAATTATCACTTTAATACTCATAAAAATATTCAAGTTGGTATTTTTGTTGACGTACGCACACAAAGATTTTAGTACCTCCGTAGACTGTTCAGATGTTGTTGCAGAACGAAGTGTCTAACAGTGGAGGAGATCAAGAATAAATAAAAAAAATAATAATAAATAGTCCAGTATTGCAGATGACTATCATGGTCTGTTAATAAGCTAACGATAATGTCCACAGACTGTATAATAACAAAAGAAAATATATCTATGTGTGTGTGCGTTTTTTTAAGGGGGAAAATCATCGGATGACTACTCCCGTCTGGGTGAGGCGGGAGGGAGTGTCAGACTCTTACTGATTGAAAACCACCCCGTTCCTACTCCTGCCCTTCGAGCCGGAGCCCCGGCAACCCGTTAAGTCCTCCGCGGCTGCGTATCGGTATGTGTGTGTGCGTTTAGGAGTACAAATCCACGTTGCGCCAGCGCCTACGGTGCGTCGCAAACAAATCACGGTCCACGTTCTCACGGACTCAGCGACATTAACATAAAATTAAAATTTACCACAACTTAAGTAGGTATATTTCTTTTGAATATTGAAGAGGCATTTTATGTATTAGAGTGAGCATTTAACATACAAAACGGCTTCTTGTTTAAATAAATCTCGCGACAGTTTGAACTCTGATCTTTTTCAATGTACACACGGCCACACATCAATCTATACAAAACCAGTTTATCCTGGTGTCGCGTCGCATCATCTTTCCGCACATTTAACGTTCAGTTTATACTGGTTATGTAAAGCTCGATTTGTAGCCATATGTACAATCACTAGTGGAATTTATAATCTTGTATTATGTTTTTTATGCTTATCAAGAGAGGGTTTACAATGAAATGCAGTTACATGAAAGTGGGTAAATCGGTTGAAGTAGATTGAATGGTTCGGTTTTACGATCTTAATATAGTTGTGTTAATATTGAATGCGACAGGTAAAGCTGAAAATGTTAGAATAATACGGATGTTAACTGGGATTATGTTTGGTGACGAAATTGATTTGTTAAAATGGTCAGAATAAATGTAATGAATTCTGAATGTGAAATAGGAGTGTCTCCACTTACTCGTATTGATAAAATACTTAACATATTTCTATCTCTCAATTGAGGTAATACGTAATATTACGCTTATTCATTTTAAAGTTCATTCATCATCATCAAGTATTCATTCTTCTATGCTGACTTAGACAAATCACAGTACATCTGAAAATGTTAAAGATATGACCAAAAGCTACCTCACGAACGATTGCCAGATGACACTAGAATGAATACAAAGAAACACGCCAAGATTTATTAACAACTTAACATGAATATTGAATACACTAACAACATACAACTAGGCCCTTAACATGTTCGTAAGTAGCACAATCCAACAGTCATCAATAAAATTAACATCAGACATACATTAATGAGATCTTTTACAACGTAACATATATCTGTCATATCACTATCGAATTTCGCTCAATATAATCTCCAATCTCCAATAATTATAAATATTCCAAAGTTCTCACGGGAACGAAGATAGAATGGAGATTTGAAGAATTTCATCAATTTGAATAATTCCGAAAATTGGACGTCTCGTAGTCTGGCAGTTTTGTTTTGCCGATTATAAACCTATTTGTAAAATGATTGGCAGTCCAATTAGTTTTGCGTAGATAGATAAAGTTGTTAGTAAAAAAAAAAACTAAAAAAGTATGGTGGAATGTTAGCAGGTGTGTGTTTGGTTGGTGTAGCTAAAGCCACCGGGTATGATTCACTCATCAGTAAATTCAGAAGATAGAATAATTAAATGAATGGAATAACAAAACATGCCAATTATGTCTCTGAGATTTAAGTTTGTAGCGTTTTACATCATCATCATAGTGCGGGAAAGCCATGCTTCAGCACGAATAGGCCGGCTCGATCGGAGTGATACCACGGCCTCACAGAAAACCGACGTGAAGCAACGCTTGCGTTGTGTTTCGTCGTGTGAGTGAGGTTATCGGAGGCCCAATTACCCTCCCCTTCCCCAATCTCCCCAATCCTGTAATCTCCAACGATCCTTAAACTTCTAATCCCCAAAATGCCGGTAACGCACTTGTAACGCCTCTGGTGTTCCAGGTGTCCATGGGCGGAGCCGATTGCTTACCATCAGGTGAT